GAACTGACTCAGAATGTACCAAAAAGATAATATAAAAACATGACTGACGAGTGATAATAGAAAATACACTGCTTACCATAACTGTGTACTGTCCCGTTAGTGCTAGAAAAGTGACAGTGCAACACGCAGTTGGCGGAAACATGATATAGTACCTAATAATAATATTTTCATGGACGTAGCCTAAATTAAATAAGTATGCTCTACAAGTAACGACGTGTAACATCTTTGCTTGACCATAGTCAAATATGGTACAAATAAATAATGAAACTCAACACGATGAATTTAAGAAGTTGCAGTTCAAATCAGTTTAACATTTCCAAGGGAGGTAAAAAAAAATAATTCACCGGAAATGTCGGGACCAGTAACGTGGTCATTAATCTTCAGTTTTTGGTTCGGTTCAAAATCTTGTTCTAAATCATGGGATAAAACATTTACACTGACATTTTCAAAAGAAACTAAAAACCATGGGATTGTTTGAAATGAATATATCTTCATTTTGCCATTAAGGATACAAAACACGAGATCAGGAGTGAGAAATCCAAGTTTATCTCACAAGTTTGACGTGATTTTTTGGTATGTATATTGACTGTGTCAAATCAACAACATTTTTCAAAAGGCATTGGATCCCATCGAAGATTGATTTCATGATACCAGGACTTAATTTCACAAACAGCGTTCTACCAGTTCTCAATATCGAGTCGCTGATTATTATTACTGCTGAAAGTCATAATGCGAAGTTTTTGCGAAAACACTTGACTTACCTTAGGTTGATACATAACGGTAACATTCAAATATGTTGTTGACCCGAACGCTAACAGGACGGACATAAATTTGAACAGTACAAACAAATCACAAATAACACAGTAGGGCTAAATAATGAGTTCGAAGGATTCAAATTCTAAATGGTTGCTTTAAGATTTAAAATTGGGAAAACTACATGTGCCCCATAAACTTAATTGTCGCATTTTCCCCTTCTAGATGAATGATTTCACAAAACATTGCAGAATTTCCAAAAACGCACTAATTCACACATGACAGACCTACCATTTTCTCTGCAGTTACTACTAAAACAATGGTCTAATTATATGTACTCCGTCATAATTGACAAATTATTCCCATGATTTCAGCACCTGACAGTTTACTTACGCTACCTATGTAACATAACCGAATAATTTCGGACCAAATGATCAAAGCTATTCGTATAAGCATGATGCTCCTATTTTGTTTAACTGTCAACGGTTCTTGATTGCTTAGTATTTGTATATTAATACCTTACAATAAATCCGCAAATTTTAGTTTTCTAGAAAGATTGTTGCGGAATTTTCCCTGTATTTTGTGGTTTCCGGTCAATTATTTCTTGCACAGTTTTAAAAGTTATATTAAAAAACATACCAGGATCAGACATGTATACAAAACCGTATGAGCTTTCTTTGGCGTCATCTATTAAATTCGAGGTAGATGACATAATAAAACGGGAATGAGATTCCTCAAGATGAAAGTTCTTAAATGTGGTAAAGTTCATTGGAAAGTGAAGTCACTCCACAACGAAACTGAAATACTCTTTTTACGGCCAGTTCAGAAAAACAGGATAAAGTGGCAAAAAGAACGACTGGATCAATGTGAAATGTCAGCAATTCCATAAACGATCCACCGCGAATGTTACTTTGCTCCGTAGAACCCACGCAACACCAGGAAAAACGCGTAACTGTCAGTTCATTAAAGAGCAAAAAGTTCATCATATGGATATCAATGAACAACTACTTAAGACCGCATTTGCCTGATCTGTAACATTACGCTGTTTTTCGTGACATGATATCTGGAATGTTATGAATGATTACATTCTCCTCCACATTTCGATACAAAAGGTTAACAGTTATTTACTTCTCCAGAAAATGTTCCTACCACTGTATTACATCTAGTCGTCCTATTAGTGTGCATATTCATAGGGCCAGAAGATTAGGCGATGCTTTCGTGACTGTATAGCAAGACATCTTAAGCATGCAACTTTCCTTCCGTTTCATTGCTTATTCTCTCTTTCCTTCACTTCAGATGTTTACTTTTATGCTTGGAAGCTTCTTAATTGCTTGACCTTCCAGCTATTTTTATGGCTAGTCAAATTCATATAAAAGACAACAATACATGTGAAAATCCCTCCTTCTTCTTAAAGGGAAACATCTACCTAGCTGCTTATCCGCTCCCTACAATTATCACGCGTTTGGATTACACTGCCCCTTAGCAACGCTCATTTCTGTCATTAAAAATTACACAGCCCAAGTTCTGGAACCTTTTTCACTATCTCTTCCATTTATTCGTTCATAACCGAAGACTGTTTGGTCATTAAGCAGCTCATCCTCAGTTCGTCTAGGATGCAGCTATTAATGTGTCTATGATGTTGAACTATTTAGTTCAATTTCGGCATTTGGTTGGATCGTCGAAAATCATTTAACCAACACATTTTCATGGCTTGCTCGAAGTTTTTAGGAAGTTTGAGTAGTGTACCTCGATATTACTCACAGCCACAAATTCCCATCTTCGATTCGATGTACAATGGAATTACACGGAAATATTTTTGACAATAAATATTTTCTTACAATCCATTTTTTATAATCATCTCTCAGTAACAATGTTACTGGAGAGGTATTTCAGTCTACTTATTTGATCAAAAAGCTATTAGGCTTCTAACACATGCTGGCATTAAATTCGGTTATATGAGTCACTTACTGATTTGTTACATGACAATGACGGTTTATGGGTTACCTAAAAATAAGACGACTATAATAATAGAAATCTGCAATTTTGAATGATGTATGCTTATTACCCTCATTCAGGAAGTCCCTTCCAAATCTAATCGCTTACTACTTCCTTGTAACCAGCAATTATATACTTTGGTGCCATATCAAGAACTTTTTTCCGCAGTGATGTCTATTGTAAAGATTATAATCTGAAGCTTATTATATGTACGACGAATTTTAAAACAACGGTCCCTTCTTTCTCCATCTATTTATTCTTCTTCAAGTTTAGAATATTCTGAAAGTACAGTAGCGACGATTTCATTGCTATGGTTATGTTTCGTAAGGTTTTGGCTGTTTCAAATGATTATGGATCATCTAAATGAATTCACTTTCAGATTTTTCCCGAACTTTCTCACTTTTCATGCCAGTTAAAGATTTAACTCCTATTCTCCCATTTTCTGTAGCTCCTATCTCTAACACATTCTTTCTTATGTGCTAGCCGTACCTTCTTCTAAACTTCATTGATCGTTGCTGTAGAATCCAACCATATAATAGCGTTGCGGTGGCTCTTTCTAAGCTATGAAAAGTCATTACGGACAAGAAAGTCGCAGTAATAAGTTGTGAGAGGTATGCGTTTGGATACAGAGGAAATGCTTTGATTCCTTTCATGATTGGACTAGCATTACAATCATAATCTATACTACCATGATACATCCTGTGTCTCAGGAATTTATTGATAATTTTGATAGTTGGAATATGAAATGTGCAAAGCCCCTTCAATAGACCAGAGAACACCAGTATCCTGACGGATGACCTATCCATCACTCTAGCTCTACCACTTCATATTAAGCACAGGAACAGAAATGTTACATATCTTGTAAATATTTTGAAGAGGAATGCATTGAATGTTCCATAAAAAGAGTGCAAAGGAAGCAATGGTCAAACAATATCTGCTTTAATGCAACTTCAGTTGAGCTTCAGTGCAGATTGTTATGTGTTAATCTATTATTCATTTTTTCCATATTTAGGGTTAATTGATGTCTACAACAAGTGCTGGCGCTAAATTTGTCAGCTTGCACAATTATCAAGGGCAGGCAAAAAGAAAGGACAAATCACAGAATAGTGTTGTTGAAGCAGATAGCAATAGTTCAGTTCAAAATGATTCCACTAACTCAATTGATCATAGTGGATACTATACGGGTAAGTCATGCCTTCAGCTTCTATTAATATAGTTTGTGATTTAAACTGCTACCAATTACTGTGAGAAGAAAATGATTACATTAGATATACTCGGAATTTAGAAGTACAATCGGTTTCTAAACTTCTATTTCGAATTTCTGTGGGAAATATAAACCTTGTTATAACACTTCCAAATACGTTCTTGAAGTTTTAGCAAAACATGATTCGCCAATGCATCCAAGCACATCAGGGGAAGTATACAATCGTCGTCAAATGCTAAGAAACATATATTCCGCGAAACTGTCCGCTCCAGCAACATCTACCACATATCGCCTTAAACCGCCATCCTTCCCTCTCTTACCACTAAAACTGTTGGAAAAACGACCACTCCATGGTATACTTCTTTCCAAAACCTGTTTTACTATTATCTAAATTGCATCTCTTTTCGCCAGGATAGCTATAATAGTATAACAATTCTATAACAGTCCCATCTTTTCCACACTTCCACATTGATGGAGGGCTAGTATAATGTTGTAGCATTGTCGGGATGCAGCAGTACCGAAATGGTGAAGAATTTTAAAATGAATAACTTGTTCTTTGCAGTATCATCACAATTCGATCAAGGTAGAACGGCGCAGCAAGAACAAATCGATAATTTGCGAGAAGAGCTATACGGAATAAAGCGAGTAAGTGAGCTAACCTACAATCAACAACTCATATATAGCCAGAGTGACATAGGAAAATTCGTGGAAAATATGAGAAAGTGGGGTTTTACATTTAATATCGCTGATGTTCTTCAAAAATTATGCACTTTGAAGGCATTAATTCAAAAAGATTATGGCTGTATCAGAAAAACTGTGGGATTAAACTGCGAGGATTAGATATGTATATATAATATTGTCATTGGAAATTTGTGTCAGGAATGCTCATCAATTAATCTTTTTTCCTCGGCATAAATTTATTGATATTTCAGAATCACGCTGCTATGTTAAAAGAAAATGTTGTATTAAAAACGCGTTTAAAACGTTCAAGTAACGAAATAGTAAAGAAAGATCGTCAATTGCAGAATTTGTTGTTCATTCAGGTGTGCTATTCACCCAGTCTCGCATTGCTTTATGAGCTTCTATCCTATCAACCTCGTAATTTTCTTAATGAATCCGTGAACTTGTCTTTGTCAAACTACTTTACTTTTATATTCATAGCCATCTTTTGGGCACTTGAGATATTCAGTATTGTTATAGTTTAGTCTAAAGGTTCATCCGTTGACCAGCGAGGAAACATGCTAGCAATGAAGCAGAAAATTCTAATGCTGGAATCGCTTCTGAAAGAAAAGACCAACGAAATAAGGTTTTCATTGTTTTGTGTTTAGCGCTCAGTTTCAACGTAATGAAGTATTTATTTGAAGAGTGTGTATTTCGTGACTATGATTTCAGTCGATTGAAACATGATCGTGAAGCAATAAGGATATCAGATCTGGAACATATTGCAGCTCTCCAAGCAGAATGCAACAATTTGAAACGTTATCTCACCTATTTCACTCCTCCACTCAGGCCAGCAATACCTTTGCTTTTTTATTATTTCTAAAAATATCTATCATTTGTTGGATTTTGTATGACAAACATTTATAATTCGTATCAGACCATGAAAATTTACTTACTTATCTCTTTTCAGCAAAATACGGGCTGATGTGCGACGTTTCCCGAAAAGACAAAGAACAGTTACTGAAAGCGATAGTGCTAGAAAACTGAAGGAAGCAGTCAACTTTCTGGAAAAAGAAAATGATAGGATGCGTACAAAACTACAAATTTTCTTTAGCTGCTCAAGTTGTTCACCTGATGGTAAGCCTGAGTTAAAATTTGATGGGATTGCACATTAAAATGCCAGTTTAATTATGTGGCGCTATGAATGCACTCTACCAATTTTTCTGTTCATTCATGCATATACGATCATGAAGAATTTTACCAAAGATGAGAATTCGGAATTTTTAATATGGATAGATCGGACTATGATTTCTAAATGTTCGAAAAACTTTGCATATTTTTTTGTGTCCTTCTGGCTTTCTTATTCAAGTACATGAAGCATATGCAGTCGGAGAGAAACCTGAGGATTTATTTTGAAAAATAAGTAATTCTGCTTGAATTAATTTGGGAACTAATGTATCGTCATTAATCTTTTTCACGCAAAGTCATGTGCGTTTTTTGAATCCCTTTGTTTCTTTCACTCTTGGATGCGTTTTAAAATACTGTTTAACTACCTAACTTTTCGACATTCATTAGCCACAATAACAATAAAATCTAAAATGTCGCAGATATAGTGGTGTTTGGGAAGTATTTGATGTATGATATGGATTAGAGAATAGGATTTGTTATGTTATATAGAATTTGCTGACGGAGATCAAAGAAAGTTTTTTCAGCGCAAGAGGCGCCACCAAGTTTTTCGTAGCATATATATTGTTTTTTACTTGGCACAGAGTAATGTGTTTTACAAATCATTGATCGCAATTATTTAGTTATATTGTAAGAAGGTATTCTGTTTTAAATTATTTATTTTGTCCTAGTATTTGTTCATAATTTGTGTTTACTAAGTTACCTGTTCGTTGCGCAGATATCTCCTTCCTTCTCAGTTTTGGCAAAATCTTCCTCTAAAATGATGATAAAACTGGATTTGATTCTATTTATTTTAATACCGTCTACGAAGTTACTTTAGATCGATAACTTGTTTTCCGGGAAATCGTGAATAGAATGATCCGGAATTTGTGTTCGAGGAAAGTTTTCTATGAGACAGATAAAGTTTGTAAAGAAGAGATTTTTCGTTCAGAGAAATGAGAAAATTTCAGTCCAAAGGGAAAAATAAGTTGACAAAGAACGACAGAAAAACAACCGTAGAGCTAGAAATGGACGATCCAGGCAAAAGAATACTTTGTCATTGTTCGACCAAAAAGCGAAACATGAATTCAAAAAAATGTTTAGTTTCAAACTCCAACCTATGAACTTCATAAACTTTATTCAGGAACTCTATTCCGAGTTTACTTTAAAAATTCTTGCAGTGTTATCTTCATTTGAGCGTGAGGAACTTATTGCGTTGATTGTTCATCTGAAAAATGAACTACGAAAGAAAGATAGGCGGAAAAACAATTGTAATACCAAGGGTGGACGGTCCAGGGAGGAGGATACTTCACCAGTGTGCGACCAGAAATTAGTGCCAGTGAAGCATGAATTCGAAAAGTCTGTAAAACAGCTGAAGACTAAGAAGTAAGTGAAAATTTTAAATTTCTTTTCCAGAAAGATTAGGTCTAACTGTTGCATTTGTCTGAACATTTTTATGAAGTGACGAGAGTAGCCGAAACTAACATTTATTTATTTATAGTATGACGGAAGATTAAACAAAAAAATATGAATCTCTCTGAGGATGGTTTTGCAGTCTGCCTTATTGATTTTTACCTTTTATGTCTTATTTAGAATTAGTTATAAAAAGTAGAAATTAGAAGTGGAGCAATTATTCAATATTTCAGTAAACTGACAGTACTGAGTAATGGAACTGAAAAAGAGCTGAGAGCAAAAATAATAAAAATTTGTGCTGATGATGAGGTACAGAGAACAACAGTAAGTACAGTGAAAATGACAGAATCGCCAAAAGTTGCGGCATCGGTTGAAAAATCGGAACCAAATGCTGATGATTGCGAAAGTGGTGATAATTCTGCAAGGTTTAACCATAACTGACCAAATCTTTCATTCTCTTTTAAGCTGATATTTTACAGTGCTTCCAAAAACTTGAAAAGACATCATATTTTCAAAAGCTTACTATATCCTATATATATATTTATCAATCATCTGAAATTAACAAAATCTAGTTAATAATTCATTCCAGTACACAACTCGAAATAACGGTTGGCACAAAAATAGGAAATTTAACCGAAGGACAAGCATATTCATTCGGTGGAACAGAAAATGTGTTGGGACGGCCAGAAGATGAAGACAGAGTATCTGAACAAAAGGAACATGTATCTGAAACAATGCAAAGAAAATGGGAAAAATATGAAGATAGTGAAGATCGAGCTGATGAACATCCAATGGTTGAGGATAATAAAGATGAATGTATAGAAATATCCAACGATGTTGCAGATGATAAATTTATAAAAGGGAACGTAAATGATTGTAGTGAAGTTCAAGAATGTAGTGAGGAAGAGGAGCCTACAAGTGATACACAACAACAACTGGAAAAGATGACATCCATGAAGAAAATAGGACAAGAGGATGAAATAAGATTCGGAAATGCGGAAAGAGGAAAACTGAAAAAAAATGAGGTGGGCAAATTTGCAAATGACAGTTTTAAGTCATTAAAAGTAGTTTAAAAAAACATAATGATTTGAGTTTTCTCTGTTGATCACATTCAAGTGAACACATTTTATTTATACATTCTATGAATAGTAAACATAGAACATAATTTTTAAAATAGGTTCTTCTTCCTAGGGAAAGGCGGAGATTGTTCATTGAAAACATTTACCACTAAAGAGTGTACTATTTCAGGTTACGTCTAATTTCGTCTCCCGATCGATATTACGAACAACGTCAGCGCATCTGAAACGTTTAGAACTTTTAATTGCTAAAACCAGTTCCTGTTCATCGTCCCCATGATGCTCTATTTTTGACTGTACCGCAAATGGAAGAAATCATTTTGATGGCGTCGGTAAAGATAGCGATAATCAATCATATCAATTATAGTATATCTGTAGTTAATTATTGAGAGTATGAATATTTTTACTGAATTCGGTGCATTTTAGCTGATTGCTAACAATATTATCTGGAGATTTGATTGCGGATATCAAACTCGAAATTTTCATCTGCCATATCAGGGCATATTTTTGTAGAAATAGTCCTACGAAACATTGCAATTATATATCATGAATTAGAGTTTGCAAATTTAGGTGAAGACAACGACTAAAGTGTGGTTTTAGTGTCTATTCATATCGATTTCATTGTTTACGTGTAGTTGGCTTGGCTATGAAAACTTCGGTGGGAAAAGCCAGTGGGGAAAGAAAATATTCCAACCACCGATTAATTAATTAACGATTGAACAAAACAAAACGAAGCACTTCTACTAACATTTCCTGCTACTTATGTATGATATTTAGTCATACCGTCACTGAAAAGAATTCTGGATTAAGTCATCAGTAAATTTTTGAGTCTACTAGCTTATGACTAGTTTCGAACTGATTCTGATCACAATAACACCTTGAAATCAATTATTTCCAAAGTCGGAAGTTAATGCCAACAAATTCGACACTTCACTACGGTTGTTGTTTTGGGAATTTATAGGCACAGTCGGATTTTAATAAATTCTGATTTCATTTGAATGCTTCATTTCACATCTAACCCATTTTAACCTGTAACTTTAAACGGTAAGAAATATCCTTCATTCTGGAATTCAGAAAATTAATTGATTAGAAGAGCTGGAAAAGCGTGCCTATCAATTACTACAGACTATTATACTTCTGAAGTGTTTTTAATGACAAAAAAAATCTAGTTAATATCATTCGAAGTTATTTTATTAGTTATGCCAGAAATTTAAGCATTACCGTATCTACTGTGTTCAGACTATATATTTCCCAAATTGTGTATTTTCAGTTAGTTTATACAGGGTGTTTGTAGATAAAACATTCAAATCCTGACCTACTTTTATGGAATTTTCGGTTTAGAATATTTTCAAGAAAATATTTAATAAGAGACAACAATTGGCTCATGAATTGTGGGTGGCAACTAAAAATACTTTTCAATTGCTGCTATCATTTCTGTAAAAAATTTATTGCTTAAGGAAAGTTGTATTGACAAATTTTATCGTGCTCTATAAAAGTTATTGGTGCCATGGTTTGGTGTCTCATCTTCCAGTGTGACACGCTTTTCATTCCGAGATGCTGAGTTTTTCTCTTACCAGACGAGAGTAGGAAATTGAGCCAAAAAATTGCAGCTAGAAAACTGGACTTGTATAAACTTTGAACAAAAAGTATGAAGTACTGCCTAGTTAGTTACACTACTGTCTTTTTGTTTCATATAGATTTGCGTACTTATGAAGTCCTTGGAACGACTAAATGAATACTTATCGTTAAATCCTGGGATTCTTCAGCAACAACAACAATGTATTTCTTCTAGTTCATCATTTTTAGAGGACTGTATGCTATAATTTTTCGAACTTTGACTATTTCGAAGTTCCCTATTTTTAAATGCGTTTAGCACCAGAAAATGAAACGTTAGGGAAACTGACATTCCCTTATGGGTCTCGTAAATTACTATTATAATTTATCATTTTTCCAAACAAAGAATGATGGAAATGTTCTAACAGCGGCAAAGCAGAAACTTCTATGTCTGGTACGATCTACTGGATTCACTTAGTACGCGTGATTTTTGTCCTTAGAAATGCTCCTTGAGAGATAATATCAGAAAACACGCATTGCAAAGCTTGTAATCTATTACGCGCTTAGACTCTCTAATTTTATGTATTTGAAGGGTTCTCTATGAATGGAACATTACGGTAAGTGATGAGTGGTCGTTCTATTTTCATGTAAACCTACATTAAAAAACTGATGAAAACAACAAAACTAATTTTGGAACGAAATGAAAGAAAAGATCAGAGTTTAATCGTTTAATAAAGGAAACATAGAAATGAGAACAATAAAATGTCCTCGAAACGGCAAACAGGTAAATCTTGTGAAATGTTGAAGAAAAATTGAAAAATTAGTTGAAGAATCTGAAATTAAAGCTTGAAAAAGCAACGTGTCATCTCATATCACCGTTCTTACATGTGATGAGGGTTGTCAAAGAAGATTATTTATGATCTGCATATACATAACTTCGCACGGAAAAAATAAAACTAAAAATTGCAAGAAATGCGAGGCACGTTTTTCTCCTCTTATTTTCAGATATTAAAAAATGCTTTAGGATTTCATTAAAAGTCATTCTAGACCTTTGGTGTTATACTTTTTGGAAATCGAAAACAAATGATGGGAAAAAAGCTTCAAAGTCATTACACCGGGACGGTTAAAAAACGACTTGGAAATGTATATAACAAGGCTTTGATTAATTTGCATGGAAGTTCTTTCATCGAAGTGTTACTTTTGTCGGTATTTCATACAATCAAAATAGTTGTAAGGCTGGCTTCAAAAGTTTTAAATCACAAAGTATAGAGTATGCGATACAGCGAAACAATATTCTGAGGAATTCAGCTGCAAGAAAGAATGGAATGTTGGTGACAAACCAGCAAACGACAGCCACACATGATTTAGTTTCGCTGCAAGTTATAATTTATTTCACGGTATCTCATTTCTTCCTTCACAAGGACTGCAACCTTCATAATATTTAGCGGAACAGTGTTCCACGTAATCTTTCCCTGCAAAAATATACAGATGATGGAAGTATGTGAAATATTCCAATTAATTTGAATCTTGCAGCTCTTTAATTTTCTCAAATTAGTGTCTAGGAATGTCAGGAAGAGAAATTTACAACTAATTTTGTTAAATACGTAGTTCACTTTCCCGTGCAATCTTCTGCGATAGAAAAAAAAAAAGAAAACTAGCCAGTGTTGTCTTGTTTAACGTCTTTTGTTTCGTTTCTCTTCTTTAGCGTAATCAAATTTTTTATATCAGTCTTTTCATTAAGCCTCCTTATTCGCTTCCGAAATAGAGATTTCCCAAGTTCAGTGATGTTCTGTGGCTTAAGATAATCTGTTTATTATTTTATAGTCTTTTACCCAATAACTTGATCCGAAATGTTGTGGCCAAAAAACTATAAGCCAATTTGTGTACATTTAAATTACCTGATAATTTTCACACAAAATAAAATAACCATCACGGAATTCAGAATAAAAGCTCAGCACGCTAATAAAGTCTTTCTTATTTGCCAAAATGCCAGGCAACTAATCATACAAGAAAAACATGGACAAATCTGTTCTTTCTATCGCACTTTTCTGTTATTTATGTTTGTAAAACCAATTCATAACCATTTACTAGCAAACTGTCGGAGTTAAAGCTTCTTCAGAGTTAGATTTATGATGCTTCATGACACTCGAGATACTTTCGTGTAAATGAAATTCGAGAAATTTAAAATCTATACCGGAGGACGAAATTTGATCAATGGTTCTGTCCGATTTATATAAAAGTCCTTTAAGTCCTTATCCAACTTCGGACTGATTCTAAATAAATCACATCAAATTTAAATTTAAAGCTTTAAATTAATAGCAAATACTGAACGCAGGTATTCCTGCATTAACTAGAATACTGTTCAAATAAATTTTTCCGAATTATTTTTATTATTGGCCTATAACATAAAAAAAAAAAAAAACCTCTGCCAGGTAATCCCTGCGTCAGTCATCATGAAATTGCACTGGGTAGGCATCACCAGCCTCATTATATTCCAAAAGGGACTTAGCAGTATCGAATTATGGATTCGATATATTGGTCTTATCATTACTTCCTGCAACGATAGATTACCTATTTTGTTCGTCATCTATTGCACTATAATGAAGTTCATACAGATTTTCTGCCTTTAAATTTCGTAAGATCGTCTTAGAAGACATAGTTCCAGACGTCTCGCGAGATACATACCATCAAATGCATTCAAACATTCACCACTTGAATATGAAAGCCGTCAGTTAAGCTTACCATAAACAAATTACCTCCAATACCATGACAGCGCGCATTATATTTTGTTTTTAAACAAAGGAAATAGCATTCTACGATCCTGAAATATAACAAATTAGACATGGAATTATACTACTATCCTATATTCGAAATTTGCAACATGTTAGAACGTATCGCTCAATATTCAGCAGAAGGCTCTCTTTGTCACATGACCATATATGAACAATGCGTCAGTCAAACATTACTAGCAGTATGGTTATCGTTTAATCCCGAGAAGGAAAACAGTAAATAGTCTTGAAATAAAGTAGTCACTGCTCACAAATAAACCGAAAGTAGGCACTTCATACTGTTTGTTCACCGGTAATATATTAAGAGTTATGTAGAGAGAATTTCGTTTATCAACCTAGTGGAAATCTATCTCTGTTATGGATTTGTTAACCGGAAAGAGGCTGCAATGATAGGATTAACCAATTAATCCATACCTCGAGAAACAGTGATAGTTTATAATGAATACATATACAAACACAAAAACTGACGAGCAAGCTTCAGAAGTAATTTTACGAAGGAAGCCGATATTAACGCGTGGCGGTGCGCCATTTTCTTCGGTACGGAAAAAAGTGGTGGATTGCATTATCAAATGAATGAACCAGCCAGCCATCAATTTATGAGCTTTACATTTCTCTTCACAGTCTGCAAAATTTTGACATAACTCTCACTAAATCAAGCAAACACATTTCAAGAAACTGGCGGCGAAATTGACCACTTTATTGAATCAACGAAAATTCAATAATGAAATATCGAACCTTTAGTAACAACCTGTGCATGTAGATCCATACATTCCATCAAGTCCCGGAAGGCTTCAATAAATTTTAAAAATAAATAAAGCAATACATGAATGATGAAACAAATAGATAAGGCGAGTGTTTTCAGAAATGACACGTTGGTACCTATTTGATAACTTTATGGAAGACCTATAAATCAAAAATATTCTGGGAAAAATAACCGGCAGGATGTTCGACGCACATATACTTAAAGCCATCCATAAATAAGGGAAACAAATAATTTGGCTGACACTTCTTTATACGATCCATACATTCATATACTTCGCGAAATTTCCTAAAATAATTTCTGGACAATTTCAAAAAGAAAAATGTGATTCATTTTTATAGTTCTTACAAGTAGTTAATCTCTTACTCGCACGTATTCACTAAACGTTCGTAGTTGTTCCCAGAAACAAAACTTGCGCGTAGCGTAAGGAGGAGAGGTTTCAAACAGCCTGAAATGAGTATACAAAATTGATGCAAAGTAAAAAAGTAATAAAAGTAAAGGAATGCATTTGGAAGAAATACATTTATTTTACCTTCTGCGCAATTTGGATGAAACTCAGGCACTCTTGCAAGATCACTGATTGAATACTTTTCTGAATCTAAATGAGTTTAACAAATTCTTATTTTCTCCTGCAAAAACTACTTGTTGTTCAATCAGGTAAAACAATCCCTGTGCATATCATTGCACTGATCACTCAAAACAACAAATTCATTCACCGTTTACTCCTTGTTGTATAACGATAGGTATCAGAAGAAATAAGGCAACATTATGAATATACATCTCTATCATTTCTTCTCTTTTACCTGTTTAGACTTCTCCTAAAATAAAAACAATATACGCACTTTTCTCAATAACTTGCCCTCTATTATGGCTCTATAATTAGGAACTGATGTGCTTTTGACACTTATGATCCACTCCTCAAAACACTGGTGTAAAATATAATACAAGGCAGAAGGCGATGACAGCGGAATCCAGCGTTCCTGATATCTTCGCGTCTCCTAAGTCTACTATTCAAACACAGAAACTCAATGATGCATACTGACGATTGTTACAAGATGATACGTAGTTGATCCATATTTTACTAATTGTTTGGAAAAATTCTAACAAATTGTGAAAAATCTCTAGGGAAAGGTTAAGCTTTATGGGCATGAAATCGATGATTTGAACCTGAGGCAGTTAATTAACAATGAACCGATTGATCAATGATGAACATATAACAGTAAGCAGGTTAAATACTAACCGCCATTATTATATTCCGAAATATTCTTTATAACGATATCTATGGGGCAGGAATTGGTAGATCTTGTTTTAACGCTTACTGCATCGTGGATCATGGAGGAAGTAACTTGATGGATACCAACTTACTCAGGGAGCAAAACTTCACCAACTTAGTGGATGTTTCGGGAAGATATATGCAACTATATGATACTCAAACCCTCCATATGCAACTAACCACTGACCGTCAATTAAACTATTTATTTATTGTTTTGCAACTTTCTTATTTTATTTTTTGTTAAATCATCACTGTCTTCTGACATTTCAGTATGAGAATAAATTAATGTATGCGATATCAGGAATATGATTGTGGGTTATTGATCCGCATATACGTGCCATAACTGTTTTACTTCCATATTGCAATCTGGTGTTTATACCCATACTTTCTATAGGAGAAAAAACTGATTATCCGGTCTTCTCGTTACAACAGATACATTATACTGCGTGAGCAACGCTTCTGAGCATCAACGCTGATAAGCTTTTCTTTTAAAAGTATGTGTTGAAGTACAAATCATGAAGAGACAGTACCAAAGGAAGGAGTGAGGGAGGGAGTAGTTAATAACGATCTGTTAGAATAGCAATAATATGTTGATAAACGGTGGATTAATTAGCTTTCTTACTGAACGGAAAGAAAAACAATTAATGTATATGTGAAGCAAATGCACTGTACAGATATGTGGGACTTAGATGCTAACAATTCATGTAAAGAAAAGTGAAGAAGTCCACACTGAATCAACATGCAATGAGAAGAGTAAACATGAATCGACCACTTCATAAAGGTCAACATCTGAGAGAATTTGCTTCGCTGTTATGCGTACTGTTTACAAGTTTTAAGAATACTGCATGTCTAAATTGTATGAACGCGTCCAGTCGGCATACGAGAAAGGACAGTAAAATATGGGGAACAATATTTTTGTACACTGTTTATACCTACAGTATTAGGAAGTCTTTTTTTATATTTACAATGAGGGTAAGAAGGCATCCAACAACAATCCATGATTGGAAAGAAGATCCTGCATAAATCAATCAATCTAGAGGATCTTCAAAACACTACCAAAAGCATTAGCTGTAACTAACAAAAAGATTTAAATCTTGGTAATACTACTTTGCTCCATTGTTTTCCAGATATTTAGGGCTTTTTTAGCATTTCCAGATTGAACTGGTGAAATTTCTAGATCACGACGATATCGGCATCCCATTTGGTCATTTTTTTCTTTATTCACTCGTGTTTCTAACTGCAGTTTAAGCCAACCGAAACTGAAGTTCTCCTGGTCCTTTAAGTCAACTATCTGCAATAGTATTTAATCTGCGGTATCTCATTGAAAAATAATGGTAAAACAAGCTAGTATATTCTTATTATTGTGATAAATAAGCATCCTTTTTTCTAGAAATTAGTGAAGGCAGAAAATTAGATACATAATGCAATCGAAATAATCAGTTTTACATCCAGAATGTCGTATAAACTGGTTATTCAGTTATGTGTCTAACATCATCTAAGTAATATAGATTTTGGGGATTCGTAAAAGGTAAGAAATCTCGTTTGAATCGGGAAAAAATCCGAAAGGAACAAACCGAAATACTACACTGAGATTTATCCCTTTGGTCGCTGAGAACGGCATGATCATCAACAGCTTTTTGGCATGTACGTATCGATCTTTTTTCTTTATCCTCAGCCAAATTTATTTCTGATTTCATTCTTACCAGCAAATTTCTCGAGCAACTATTTTTCCGAGAAACTTTTCGTTTTACTGCGTCATACATTAGAGTTTTATAGCTGGGGAAAACTTTTACTGATTCCTGAATACATGATACGGTATCCTGAATCAAGTGCATTGCTCCATCTATTGAATTCGATAACTTATTTTGTTCGGAAGCTATAGTTTCTCCGTTGTTGAGGGCAGAACTGGTAATCTCTATCTCTGATCCGTTTTTGTCTTGTGGCTTCTTTATTTTCGATTCTCCTAAGGTTTTTTTCTGATCTGAAATTCCTGCAGCTTTTGAAGGTTTTTTGGAAGTGATGCACTGTAATAGTTCGTCAGCATGAATCTCCTCAGTGTGCTTCGTCGTAGTTGTCAAGTCTACTGAAAGCGACTGTAAAACTGAGATTGGTTTTTGAATTTCACTTTTGTTTTCTTCGACGGATTTCATCTGCTTTGCTTTGTAAGGTAAATGAGAGCTGCCAGGTGTTGCGATCAATTCCGTTAAACCTTTCTTTAGTTTTTCGACACTTTTTTTCATCTTTTTTTTACCAGAAAGATCGTGATGTTCAATAAATTCTCGAGAATCTCCCAATTGAACCAGATTCTGTGCAGCATCCTTAATATTAGGATTTCTGTCAACAATTTCAGCCTTATTTTTCTTTCGCTTAGGTACGTTTTGATTGTTTGCATTTCCCGTAACTTCTTTCTTTGCAGCACATCTTTCTTCTGAAAGACGTAACTCTGGAAATAAAGCCCTCTTTTCATTGACAGCTTCATTTTTTTTGTCACTATTGCTTTTCGTATTATTTGGCTGTTTCACTGTCGCACTCAAGGAATTCAATGAAGAATCATTCTGTAATTCGTTCAGTTTCATCCAACTTTTTGTTTTTCTACTTATGATGCTCGAATCACACTGAATCGGTGTCTTCTGCGATGTCAACAAAGCGTGAATTTGCACTGCCTTGACCAGCATAACACTTCCCGCTGGCTTTTCAACCCCTTCCACCATTTCCTGATTTCTCGTAAATCCCATCGTGTCTTTTTTCTGGTTCTTTGTTTCACTTCGTACATGGCTAGTTTTTGCTACCGGTATGGCATGAGTATTTCGCTCTGCTGTTGTCTGATCAATTTTTTTGATGGGTCTTAATTCTAAAGGCACTAAACTCGAGACAGTGATCTTTTTCCTTGACCAATCTGTTCCTTTCTTAGCATTTAATGCCGGATTTATTTCCATTTTTTTTGTTCCCGTTAGGCTCATCCCTTCAATTTCCACTTTATCTTGTTCGACAATATTTACTCTTTGATTCGGAAAGCTCTTACTGCCTTCCTCTTGCTTTACAGCTGCAATCTCGTTCGTGTCAACTTGCTTTCGATCTGCAGAACCACGTCGATGAAGTTCAATCAAATTTTTCATCCGTTTCTTTTCTTCTTCCGGTGCTCGATAAAGCTTTACACAGCTGCTATCATTTTCATGAGTTACAACTAATGATGATTTTCTGGATGAAGACTTCTCCACATCTCGGAACGTTCTTACTGGACGAGAAGGTCGGCGCTCGAAATGCCTTCTCTCCTGTTCAGCTTTTTCACTAAACAGTGACAAAATAGCGGCTACAGAACTGCCTTTTTTATTGATTTCACTAAGCTTATTTACTGAATTGATGTGACGTGTGGATTCTTGCGCTGTTCGATTATCAGAAGATGAAACGCAATATTTTTTTGGTCCCTCTTCTGTTGTCGCCTCATTCTTATTTGTCTGGACTGATTCGGAAATCAGAGGACGTAGGTAAGCACTTTCCGCAGCAAATATGGGTTTTGAAAATTCAACGAAAGAAGCAGTAGGCTTGGTCGTTTCCAGTGTGATGCATACTTCACACATCACTGGAATAAATTTTTTTGAATCACTTACTTCACCGTATCCAGAAACTGTCTCAGCGGACTTTTTCATTTGCCTTCCTAATCCGTCGGATGCAGTTTTTAAGTGCTTGGAAACCTTTTTCGGCTTACAAGATATTTCGTCTGATTTCTCATTGTTTTTCTCTTTGTGTTTCTTTGCTCCCTTTTTCGTCTTTCCCTCATCAGTTGGTTTTGGCTTCTTCCTCCCCTCGTCAATTGCGCTTGGTTTTGGTTTCTTCTTCGGAATCTCGCTGCTTAACTTCTTTTCCTGTAAATGATCTTTTTGATCAGTTGCTAACAAACTGTCTCAAAACGTATTTCTGCGGAGAAACAAAAAGTTTACCTCAGGATGCTTTGTTGCAATTACTGGCTCCGCTCTGGAAGTGTCGAAAGTCTCCTTTACCGCAGCAGAAATTTCATTTAACGCTTTCTTCGTTTTCACATCATCCTTCGCTGGTTCTGCTATTACGGAAGCGCTGGCTTTTGATTCCGCACAGCTCCCCATAATATTTCCTATTGAAGCAGGAAGACTGTCATATATTTCGGAGATAGCAGCAGGTACTTTTCGTCTTCCGAAGCTCATCAGTGTTTGTCGTTTGAATCGAATCAAAAAAACCAGTGCCCAAGTTGCTTTCTGAAAATATTGCAGCAGCAAATGCAGCAGGAAATATGGACGAACTGGAAGTTTTTGTGAGGATTGTCATAACCAGTTATCTTCTTATTCAAATTCAACTGCTTAACATACTAGTGAACAACCAAACAAAAAACAAAAAAGGAATATTTCCTTGTGATTTCTTTATTGTCGAGTAAAATAAACTTGCAGGATAAGATATGTACTTTATTATGACAAAAAAGCTAAAGAAAGGATGATACTGCATCCAATTTAAACAGTTTATAGGATCCCATGAAACCGAAAGATATGAAAATCGAGTTGCTTCCTCATGACAACAGAACTTTATCTCGGAGGAGAATGCAATGTTTCTTGATGATCAGTTTCTCATTATCATGTGTCAGATTTTTATACAATTCTGACAACAGCAAACATTCCACTTTAATATCTTTTTAAATCCTTTCTCGACCAACAAAGTATAAAGAGGAAATAACTGTTGCTTACTCTAAAACGTTTATTTTTGAGATATGACTTCAATCCCTCCTTCGATAGCGGAGTACCATTGTTCGGTTGATTTAATATCAAATCATTTGCCGCTTTTGTTCGACTACCAACAATCCATGGATGACTTAAGCAATCCTCCGGAAGCATCCTTTGCCTGTTGTTATATTTGAATATAAATAAACAACATTACAGGTATTTGTCAAAGCAGCATTTAACAGTGTCCCTAACTCCGAAAGACCCAATAAAAACCAAAGCAAACTTCTGGTCCATTATAAGAAGTTTGGATATGAAATCTTTGGCAGCGTCGGAAATGCCTTCGAATGCTTCGTCGTCGAACTCCCATTCTCCTTTTTCGACAGCTACATAAGTATCACCCAAAGTTTCGCCCAAAAATGGTGAAATGCCTGATAACCTGCAATACGTTTGTTTAATGTCAATTGAAAAACTAGGTTCTAACTGTATTGGATGCAAAGGATTTAAAGTGAATGATGCCATATTATTCAATAAATAATGAAAAGAAGTACAGTAACGAAGATTTCAGCGCTCAAACACATATGCTAGGTTATGAAGAATAACATTTCAGTCTAACAAAATATAAGTGATGACGCCAATGCTCCACATGTCGGTGTAGAAATCGATAGGTTCAAATTTGATCACTTCCGGAGCGACGAACTCCGGCGTCCCAGCCATAAATAATAAATTCGACGAACCGTCATAAAATTGTGCAAGTCCAAAATCAATGAGTTTTATACGGTTACCCGTTTGTGAAACACACATGATATTTTCCGGCTACAATCATTATTTGCTATTAACAGATATCAGATATTACATATTTAACAAGTATAAAAAAGACTAACACTCCTCATTTGTAGTACTTATTATGACCAATGCCTAGTTCTGGATATGCATCAAAGGGAGTGTCACAATGAAATCAGGTTCACTATGGTTACAAACTCCCACTTGCGTAACTGTTTTTGAATATTAGATTTTCCGCTAAATATTTCAAATGTAGAATCTCACAAAACATTATTTTTAATCAGATGACAGTTAAAATATGCCAAGAAATAACCTTTATATCGAGATGAACAATATTTTTGCTATGAATATAGCTAACTGCTTCACATAACTGACAAACAATCATTACAACGGCCAGCTCTGTTAGAATATAGTTCTCGTCAACAACCCGATCAAATAATTCACCGCCAATTACTCTAAACTCGTATAAATTACTGAAAGTTATGAGGATGGAGAATGAGATGATAAGCAGATAACAGCAATAAACTTACATCTCCATAATTAGTACAACATCGTTGTCAGGTGTGGCGAAAGCATCGTAGATTTGCGCTATTCTGGGATGTCTTAATGTCGTCATAATAGCTACCTAAACTGTTTTATAAATCAACATACAAGAGAAAGTTTAGCCCATCTTCAAACTTAACTTACCAACAATCAACAAACCTCCCGTTCCACTTTCTCTCGATCTGCATCACGTTTTATTTTGATACGTTTTGCTGCGAGCACAAGTCCTGTTGCTTTTTCACGGCACCGATACACTTTCCCAAACTTTCCCCTTAACAAGCGCTCTTCTGATGAAGTATGATAAGACACAATATTTGAGAGGTTTCATTCGACCAAAAAAGTTTCAGGACACCCTTAACAAATATAAGAACGTCTTAGCCTCCTAAGTTTTCCATACATTTATGTTCTGTTGACAGAAATACAATTTATTAGTTTAGCATCTCAACAACCTACCACTGTGCTTTAATGCTATAATATATCAGAAAAAAACTAACTCTCCAATTTCATCCATACAGTCGTAATATTTCGAAAACTTTTCATTGGCTCGTATCCGAACAATATCCTTGATTTCAAATGGAAGTTGTTCATCATCCACTACAATACAATTGGAAGGGACTTGATAAATTTCATAAAGCGGCACGAGTTTGATGCGAAGAGTTACGTTTTGGTACAACTTTTAGCTTGTCAAGACTAACGTGGTTAATATTTGAACAAGATAAATCAAAGAGAAGTGGGTGATAAGATCTTCTAAACTAACCTCCTTGGTAGTCTGATTCGTCAACCAGTATACGACCTTCATCACTGCTAGTACCCGTTGGTAAGGCTGTGAAAATGACCATTGCTGTCAACTGTATTTAAAAATGCATGTTATGTAAAATACATGTTATGATGTGTGCATCAAAAAGCAATAAAACGATCGATATATGGTTTAACATCAATAAATTACAGCCCTAGAGAAGCTCGTAAAGTACGGAAATTTCTGGATAACTGCATTCAAAAATAAAAGTTAGCTCACTGTTTGAAATTCGAGTGCTGTGGCAAATATTTTTGATGACGATATTTTTCGGGATTCATAAATCAGTGATTGAAATAAAGGACGAAGTTTCGATGAGTAAAAGATTACTTAATAAAGTGTACCTTACTCTTCTTGTCAACACGCCTTACATTCTTTTAATGCTGTCTTCTGGAAATATTTTGAAGTTCGAAGTAATAAAAAACGACACCGTAGATTTAGCAACGGATAACAAATAAATTTCGAGTAATAAGTTTCAGAGTAAATGCTATAAAATGTAGGAAAACTTATTCAAATAGTGAATGAAGAGCTTTCTGCAGAGTTCGAGTTCTCCTGTAGAAAAAAAAAAATTTGCTATATCTTACAAAACACACAAAAATGATGCGCTGCAACAATGGAGTTAAGGTAATAATATTGTAAGAAGAGAATGGGATGGTTTTGGATTAGAAATGTCCATGAAGCTGACGGTAATGATCAAGTTGATTTGATTGCTTTTCAAGAGAGCAATCTGATCGAATATATGCAACAAAATAAAACAATTGCTCGTGTTTCGATGTGTAATAGAGTGCAGTTCGGCTGCAAAAACTCAAAGGAGAAATCTTGAAAAATGTGCAGCTGGTATTGACGGTCGAAGGGTCAGCAACGTTCATCACGTACTCAAATTAAATCATTGCGAGATGGCTTGGGATTTAGGACGTCGTATGTTCAGGAAGATATTAATAGCTGGCTATCAATACACTATCAGTTAGCAGTTAATTGTGAAATTTGGTCATCAAAAGAGAGATGACGGCAAGTCTCATGTTCTAGCTGAAATATTGATTACCAAATCAATCAACACTTATTTTATGTTGTTCAATTCTACAGCATTATATTTTTGGATGCAAAATGGAAAAGTTGTACGACTGAAATTTAAGAAATAATTTCAACATCTATGAGGTTCGTTTGTGAAAGAAGAAGAAAATAAAGCTCATCGTATCGTAAGTAAGCGAATAGGAAATTTTAAATCGAAGAAGTGAGCTCGATTAAAGACGGACGACAAGTTTGTTTCACTTCCGTTCTCAAAGCTTTCAGTTTTTCAGTTCATAAATGCTGCTTTTCCAACATTTATTGCTGCTATCGTGTACTGAATTTTTTATTATGTAGGCCAAATTTTGAGTATCTCAGCATAGCTTAGTAACACGGAAGCGTTTATTTCTTATCTGAATTTAATTTTTGAAAGCCTTCTTAACGTTTCTTCATTCCTCGACAATTTTTAAATAAAGATAAGCAGGAAAGAAAATCACGAAAAGTTGAGAGGGAAAAAATGTTTCAATTTACATAAAAGCGTCCTGAGCAATTGCACAATTCTTAGTGTCATCATAATTGAGTAAATATATTTTGTTCGGAAGATTGCCATTGAAATATTTTAAAATATTTTTATGAAACTAAAGGAGCTGAAAATCTGTAAGGCAAAAGGAAGCCAAGTTTGGGAATGTACCAGACGTAGCAAAAATCACCATAACACGCCTTCAGACCCAGATGGAATAAGAAACAATCATGTTTTATTAGCCTGAAAAAGAAGAAAAAAATAAATTGCATAATGTTAATTTTACGTTTGCAAATGATGAGTGAATAATGGGGATGGAGGAGGTTAAAATCCAGCAATAGTGGATTGAAAGCTTGACTGTAGCTTTAGTGGATTGCATAGTGGATTGCAATAGTGGATTGAAAGCGTGACAAGTAATTACGCATAGTATCGGCTAAAATAGAAAGTTCTGAGCGGGACAGGTAACTAAACAGAATATGGTAACTGTGAACGCGAAAGACGGAGATTGGTCGCGAAAGCTGCGGCTACGCAAGTGGAAGGTGTGCGAAGAGAGGTGCTTAACTCGATTAGAGTGTTAAGAGCATTTAACGGGAAGTTGGTGTTGTATGACAAGCTGGAGCAGTTGTGCGCCGCTAACATACTAACATCTTCTGGAATTTGTCAGATACTATACTATATCCATCCTGCCGTTATCCAAAACATAAATCCCTTGTTGTAGTGCTAATCACTACTTCCTACTCTATACCGCACTACATCCATGCTACACTCAGTTAAAACGTATCTCCATTTAGCATTTCTAAATTTCTTTTATTGTTTTTCAGCATCCAAGCTATTCAATATTTCAATCCCTGCCGCTCGTTTACTGACCGACTGATTATTCTGTTGAATTGATCGAACCAGCTCAATGCTCATTATGTGCATTTTGCAGTATGAAGGATGATATGTCATAGTTATACTGTTAAATATTAGCATTTTCAAAACGACAAAAATGACCCATTGTTGCTTAGTGATAAGCTACCCTTCCATCAATACGATAGCGCTTTCAATACCTAACTTGAATTTCAAAATTAACGCCGAATTGTAGATCGAATGACATTCACTTATTATCGTCATTCAGTAGAGCAACAAAAGAATGGAAAATTAGAGCAAACATTGACTCTAACCAAGTAGTTCGTCGAATGTTATCAATAATAGCTCTTACATATCAGATACGAGAACCCCTGAATTTAGTGATATTCTCATTGATCTATTTCTTGATTACTGAAATGACAGTAATATTGCATTATTCAAACATAGAATAAGCCAATTTATTTTGCGACAATCATTTAAGCATTTCCAGCTTTTGAATCTGTACTTGCTTGCTGGATGTTTATCAATTTCGTTTTCCACACTCTCGCCTCGTTTGCTGTTTCGAAAACAATGATGAAGAATTTCGAACTAAGACTTCATCGTAATATTCAGGATTCTTGTGACAACATCGTCGTATGGTTCTGAATGAAGAAGAAACGGATTTGTCCAAAATTTGCGTGTTCCCAGCTTTTACGACTGGCCACTTGCAGTGTTGGTACATTTCACGCCAGCAGTACTGTAACCTTTCAACGGTCTCACATTACAGCCATTTTAATGAGAGAAATATATTTATTATGGAAAATATTTTAAAAATACAAATGCAAAGTTCGAATGACTGAAATTTTTCGTGGAAGTTATGAATTGTGATAGATGGGAATATATAACAAATAGCCGAAGTAACATATTTGTTAATCTAGCAGACACTTAGGGTGCTAATTTAATAAACACTGAAAGATTAGTGAACTTTAGGTGGCAAAGGAATTTTAAGGTTCAGCTTGTCTTTAAAAATACTGACGAATGACTACTGATACGCTCAGAAGTCCAAGCGGAAAAAGGGTAAGCAATAAGATTTCCATATTAATTTTTAAAATCTATTAAGTGCTGCCATTAATACAACAACTGTGAGATCATTTCTTCCAGAAGTGCTTTCCGCAGACATATTTCAGTGGTCAGTCCGCTAAATCGTTTTCGTCAAAAGTTCCACTAAAAAGTGATGGTAGCAATCGCCTGAGAAGACGAGAAGAATGACTCTCTTCATTCAAAAATCTATTGGCTTGTTTCAAAGTATTTCATGAAAAAAAATCACAAATTCTTGACAATTTCACAAATAAAATTGGTGGTTCTTTCCAGCGTTTCCTTTCGCGCTTCCATCACCTCCTCATGTGTCATCACCACTGAATTTTCGCTATTCAGGTTTGTTCTGTAAATAGCTTCATTTAATATTCCCTTTCCTACAACTCAAAAAAGCCTTCATTTCAAAACATTACTGTTAATAGAGAAAAAAAATTTTTGCTTTAACTTCCAGTAGAGTGGAATGTTTGAAATCAAACTTTCCATTTACGATGGTGCGATATAAACTAACAAAATAGTAATAAGTGAGCAGCCGAAAACTCGCATACCCATTTGATATGCAATGATCAGTTCATGATATATTGACATGTCTGAAAGAAGATAACATTGATTGTAAAAAGAAATCGTTTTCTAAATTACCTGAGTATGTGAATTAAATAAAATAATACGATAAAAGACACCTACCACAATCGTGATTGGATAGGAGATTCGTATTGTGGACTGTTATTCATTATAAATACCTTCATGAATTCGTATTTTTTGTCGTTTAGTCACTTTTATCGTTAGTTTTCCAAAAAGAAAAACACCTCTTTATATTGGTGTTTACATAATTTCGATTGCATTATATTCGAATATTCCATAACAACAACTTTTATACTGCATGCAATATGATACAATGGAAGGCGCAAACTATTGAAAACAAAAATAAGAATCTGAGTTAGAAATCATAAGTTTCATGAAGAGATACAAAACATTCATCAGAGTCAAGCCAGGGGGAAAGGAATAATCTTTGATTATCATTAAATCACCCATTTTGAAATTGCAGTTCAGCCTACTAGCTGCATTTGATATAATTAGCGTTTTCACTCCCTGTAAGAATAATATTTGTAGTGGCATCGCACATTACAAATATATCTACGACACATTCAAACCTTGCTAAATCTTATTGTATATCAATAGTACCTCCTGCTTATTCCTGACTTTCTTTGCAAGTTTTCATTTACCATTGTTCTGATCAAACAAAAAACTTACATACGGAATCATATTTCGAACTGCAGTTGTGAATTTTCATTTTGAACGATAATGGAATATACGACTAACCAGTGCTAAATTCATTCCCTATTCATATGGATGAAATCTATCCTGAATGCAAATAACATATTTTGCGTTTAGATTATTAGATGGAAATAATCGAAATTGCTCTGAGTAAAAACTAACACTTACCGTGTGTGGTATGGGAACCGGGAATCTTAGTGTAGGATAATATTTCTGCTTGTTCAACGCAGTCAGTGTTTCCTAAACTGGAACATATGATACCTATCTTTGGCACTTCTTTTAATTACACCTATTTCCGGATTGAATCTGGTATTTCGGACAAGTCATCATAACTTTCTGGGTTACAAGACATTTAATAAGAGTCAGTTGCAAGATCAAAGGACGCACATTTATAGTCTCTCCTATGAAATATTTGGATAGATGATTCTAAAATATGTATGTTCAAGAAGTTACTTAATCATCTTCTCATTGTCAGATAATTAAACAGTTGTGGACAGTCCCTTGAAAATATGACACTCTGTTTATTCCGAAAAATCATATCCTTAAAAAGAGAACAAAAGTACAGAATTTTAAGCGAAATGCTTGTGAAGCAATGATAAATAAAAAGAGAAAATGACAGCAGCATTAGCAAAAAAGTGATCAGGAAATACAAACTACAAGATTCACTTTAAAAGATGTTGCAAGAGCATAAATGATAGGTAGATAGGATTTCCTGATCAGATGAATTAATGGGACTATCAGTATTCCTTAGTATTAGTAAGTGGAAATCAGATCATACCAAGAGTGAATCTAATAATTAATGTAGTGGAAAGATTGCTATAGGCTCACATGATATTTATTCTCAAGTTCCATTTCTTGTCAGATCAATTCCCCTTCTGTTCAGATACTTTCAGATCATTCATTGCCCACCTGAGATACTTCCGGTAACTTTATACAAAAAAAGGATTCGTTTTAGTTTACTGGCAGGTGCACCTATTTCACTTACGTCTGTGCATCCTGAATTTATAAACTGTTCTCGACAATAAGATATCATCTATATCTTCAAATCAAAATACTATGTTAATGAAATATCGACATCAGTATGTTTTCAAATCTTCCTCAAATAACACTTAATTTTAGTTAAAATTTTTAGAGCACAAAATTATAGATAAGAAATATTCATAGATTGTATGTAATCTAAATTTCCAACTAATAGTAGTGAAGATAAACTAAAAAAAAGATCAAGACAAAGACAATAATAAGCAATATGGTATGAAGTGCTCTTTATAACCGTTTAAATAAACGTTTCGCATGAACCAAGACACCAATCGATCATTTATCGTAATTATCCACCATCCAATCATCTAGATTTTAATCAATCATTTTTTGCTTAGAGACCTCAGAGACATCAATAGATCATTTTTACTTCTTGCTACGATTTTTTATACTTTATATGGCCATAAAACAGAATATATATATAAAAGCAATAGATTGCAAGCATAATCGCCTTTATCCCTTAATTTTGACTCCAGTACCTTATTTTTTCATTGTCGTTTTTACTTGTTCAGTCATTTACTTCTTACTTGATTTAATGACAAAGAATATGCAAAATATATATATATATATATATATATATATATATATATATATATATATATATATATATATATATATATATATATATATATATATATATATATAT